GCAGCTCGGAGCGGACAGGGGGGAAGAAGAAGAGAGGAGAGGAGGCTCCGCCGTGCGCACACATACACACGCGCGCACGCACGGGAGGGGGCAGGAGCAGGGCAGCAGCGGCGCCTGCGCACAAATGCCCCTGGCCAGGAGCGCCGCGCGCAGGCGCGGAGTGCAGGGGGCGGGGCGGCGCGCGGCGGTTGGGCTCGCGACGTTGGACCCAACGGGCGGTGGGCGGCGGTTGGCGTTGCCCCGCGGGGGAGGGGGTGCTTGATTAGTCTTACTGTGGCGGCCCCAGAAAGAAAAGACACGGCTGTGCTGCCACTCGCAGCCTTTGCCGGCTCTTGCAACCGGTCTCCACAAACACCTCCCCGCGCCTTCTGTCTTCTGCTTCCCGCAGGCTCTAAGCTAAGGGAATAGGCCAGGTAGCCGGGTCCTGCCTCATCACAGACGGGGCAGCGATCCTCCGCCGGTGCCGTGCCACGCGGTGCGCGCTGCTCGGGGCGCAGTCCTGACTCGCGAGATGAACCCGCAGAGTGCCCCGAGTCCCCCGTGGGGCTCCTTGAGTCTAAAAAGGCTGAGAAGCACTGGTCTGGGGCTTCTTGTTATCCCCCCCATAATGGATGGCAAAACTGCTGTCATTAATGGGAGGTACAGGCTTTGTGAGGAGATGAGGGGGAGCGGTTGAGCACCAGCAAACATCATCTAACGGGGGCCTTTCCTAAACCCTCAAGCCATCAAATGCTTTGCCCAAAACCTGAGAGAAGCCGGTAGCTGTAAACGCATTACTAATCGGATTCACTCAAAACTCATTAGATAGACTTAAACATAACGAGGTCAGGAAAGTGATAGATGTTGGACTCTGTGGCTTTACCCTGTGCTTTGTACACCCTAGACCTGCTTTCTCTGCAACTTTGAGGGGTAAAAAAAAAAAGCTTGCTTAAAAAAGATGATGTGGGAATTCTGATCTATTTCCAGAAACCCGGGCTTTAAGAAGAACACGTCTTGTAAGTCTTGCCATGAAGTGGTAAGAGTTAGCAATACTGCTGTCATGGAGACAAGACTTGGCAATGCCCACTTTTCCATTCACACCTACTGGGGATGCTGCATAAACAGCCAGTTCCAACCCAACTGATCTATTGTAATAATACTTAGCATTTCTAGGAATTCAGAGTGCTTTACAAACATTAACTAATCTTACCAACTTGTTAATTAACCAATTGTTTATATCCTACACTAGGACGAAGTTAGTTATTGCTTCTTTCACCATTTATTTTAGGAATATGGTCATCAATTTGCTCATACATTAGCTAATTCATTGCTGCCATCACAAACTTGGCCCAGTAGCTATGCATACTACCTCATGTCTGATACAAAGAATGCAGACTCTAGGGACAACAGGTCCAAGCATACAAAGCTTAATCTGAGTTGTCCAGGTTAAATCATGATGCAACATGGCATGCTGAAATGTGGTTTCTATGAGGATACACATACAACTTTTTTTAATCTGTAAAATTAAACAGCAAACCAACCAGGAAGGGGTTTTAGGAAAGGTTCTAGATAGGTGCTCCTCAGTAAAACAGGACGAGACAGAATAGTTTTAGAGATGATATCCTAATGAAATGGCTGTAGAGATAATTGTATTTGCTTTATTCTAATAACATTCTGTGTTTTGCATTTGAAGAAAACAATCTTTTTCTCTTTATCTTTACAATTGTTACATGACATGGTGTCAGGAGTTGATTGATTTTGAACAGGATGGATACATCAAAGAAAATATTGGGCAATGTGGGTGACTGCCTGGGGCACTGTGGTCAGGGGGGGTCACACACATGTGCACAGGCTCCGTGAGCAACAGGTAGCAGTGCCAGCATGGGGCATTGTTTGGGGCCCCACACAAAGCCAGGGCAGGGGGAAGGGTTGGGGCATCAGCAGGGCAAGCTGCCTGGGACTCTGCACACGGGCAGCAGCAGCATCTGTTCCCACCCCAGTGGGGCAGGACAAGACAGGGCGGCACATGCAGGGAGCCCCAGGCTGGGGCAGCAACCTGCGGAGGGAAGCAGGGCAGGGCTCGGGTCAAGTCTTGCCTGCACGTGGCCAGTTGCTTGTCAGGCCCTGGAGGAGCCCCGTGGCGGCCACTGGAGCCCCTGTGTCACCACTTGCTGGCCACTCATTGCCAGCTCTTGCTCTCTCTGCTTCAGCTCTAAGGGGCTGCATCCGGCAACCCCTTCCACAGGCAGATGCCCTGCCCAGCTCCCTCGCCTGGCAGATGGAGCCCCTCTGCAGCACGGCAGCAGCACTGGTGACTTGAGAAGGGTGCCGGGTGGGTGCCAAAATGCAAGTTTGTCCAGGGCACCCTTTTCTCTAAAGCTGGCTCTGGATGCTATTATATAAATCAGTGGTCCAAGTCTCATCAGGAATATAACCGCTCCATCTGAAAAAGAATAAAAAAAAATATCAGGTGGGTCACAGGTATTCAGAAAGATTAATTAAGGGTATGCATAAACTCTTATACGAAGAGAGGTCAACAAGGGTTTTTGACGTTAGAGAAGAAAAGCAAGAGGGAGCATGAAAAATTAGACACAATAATTAAAATTCTAAAGAAACATCTGGTCTCCCTTGTCATAAAATGAGGAGGGGATATTTGCAATTAAACTGAAAATTGGTAAATGTAAATGTAATGAAATAAAATACTTTTTTCATATGATCTCAGAAGATGAGCAGCTCTGAAATGTTGAAATGTGTAACTTATTTGGATCTATAAACTTAAATGTTATTTCTTGTTGAAGAATTTTTATAGATGGGGAGAAAAAGAGGATGAGAAGCTGATGTGAGAATATGTGTACTCTTATTTTTAACTCATGGGGTGCATCCACACATGCAAGCATGTGCACTTGCAGCAGCTCAAATAGAAGTGGTGCAAATTTGAGTCGGGGCTTTTTGCCTCAGCGCACGTGCCTGGACATGCACTTTGGTGTGGGGCAAATTGTACCACTTGGGGCAAAATAACCCCACCTGGCTCCTCCCAGATCTGCAGCCAGTGGGAGCAAGAGCCCAGGGCCAGCACCTGTGCTGTCTCCAGCAGTATAAAAAGCTGCCCTGTCCTGGCCCCAGCAGTACAGAAGGCTGCCCTGTCAAGTAGCTCATGGCTACTTGCATTCAGGAGCTTCTGGGGCCCAGCCAACTGGTACCTGGGGACACTCCCCCTTGTGCCATCTGGCCTGCTGGAGCAGCCCTGAGAGTTCCCTGCACCTTTACCCACTGCAGCAGTCTGGCAGTGGGGGCTGCTGCCTGGCTGTGACCTGCCGTGCACCTGCCAGACCTGGATGGGGACTGCACAGCCACTAGAGTCATCTGTCCTCTGGACCAGCTGCCAGTGGACTGTGGCTGTAGAGTTGGCCTTTGTGCAGCACTACTGCCATGTGTGTCCATCTAGGCAGCTATTGCCCAGAAGATATTCCAGGTGTGGTGGCTTGCTTTGAACTGTCAAAGCATGTCCTCCTAGCCCCAGTTGGCCAGGAAGTCAGCCACAGCCAGCTGGGTCCAAGGTGCCAGCTCTGAGCAGGCAGGGTCCTGCCACTGGCCTTCCTAGCAGGAATTCTGGTGTTTGCTGTTTGAAAAGTGAAAAACCCCTGATAAAAAAATTCAAAAGTCACTCTGTAAAATACCCCAAAATCCATGTTCCTCCATAATTAAAACAAAAGACCACTATATATAGAGAGAGTGAGACACAGAGAAAGTGATCAATTGGGTAATATTTTATTGATATAGCTGCAGTGTTAAAGCAATTTGGAAGACTACCAGTGTCTCTATCATCATAATAAAGTGAATTCTAAATACCTATATGTTTT